ATCTTCTGATTGGCTATCGTGATTACTTTGGTTTTGGTTTTATAGCACTCGTTAGAAATACAATGTTATCACTTGAGGTTTAAACAAACCACTTGTGATCAAAATGCTCAAACATCGTTTGCAGCCAAACAGCACAGTGCTCTTCCATCTTTAACTTAACTGTGGTTTCAGCATTAAAAAAACGAGTGTTGTTGTTGTTGATCCCCCCGAAGGGCATTTTTCCCGTGTCCATCCTTTTCTCTGAAATAACATGTGCCAATTGGTACACACTATTTTCTCTCCTGCTTAGAAGAGAGCAAAAATGCCTTTAGTCACTTGCTCGACACAAACATTGTGAACAAAGTGCAGAAATGGTAGACCATGTTGTGATTTTGTTTTAAACAAGAGACCCATTCCTCAGTCTTATAATACTTGGGGAAGCTCTCTAAAGAGAGACGAAAGGGTGGAATTTTCAGTGATTTTAAGTGACACAGACATGGCCCCTTCTACTGTGTCTTGAAAATAATTTACCCTATAATGCTCTTCAGCTTTTGACGAGGTGAACTATCTGTTTAAGTGCCTCAAGACTCTTGTCCTACAGAAAAAACCCTAATTTATGAACACAAAAGCAAATGGAAACACCCGACTTTCTAGCCTTTAGTCCAGTTCCTCGTGCGCGGTTTAGTTGGACAGCGGTATCCTATGGTTGCGTACGCGAAAGCGAGGCTATCGGGTCAAGCTTCCCTGAAGATTACTAGCAGAAGGGTAGAAAATATGACATCGCTGTCAAAGTTTAGCTAAATCATAATGGTTAGATACTGCATAGCCTTTTGCGACAGAGTTAGAGTGAACAAATTAAAGTCATCAGAGTCCACAAAATTGAGAGTCAACAGTGTGAATATAATATTTAGAGTCCATACCTGACAATCGAAAGATTAATATTAATATTAATATTAATATTAATATGGTCTTGAGTCGACGATGGGAAGGACGCGAGACGAGGACAGCAAGTCAACAATGCCATCTCATCAAGGGAACCCTGCATACACAGCTGAGATCCGACAATATAATCTTTTCAGTTCTTAACGTACGTGACAATACAAAAGACGATAAACATCTCAAACAAATGATAAAAGACTTGAAATCAAAACCTTTCCTCGCAGAAATGTCTCCATAGACGCCATCTGTATATCATTAAAAAATAAAGCTG